GCAATTGAAACATATTAATTTTCTATTTTCCTATTATCTCTTAGAATCATGAATATTTCTCTATTTTATGTCCAAACCCAGAGCAAAATAAATTATACCATTTTTCTAATTAACATACAGCGAAATTATTTAGAGGTAATTAAATACAAAACAGGTTTCTCTTTTTCAATGAAAGTTGACTTTGACAGTTCACATTTTGGTCAAGAGATAGAATTGCATCTATTAAATGAATTATTAAAGATTCCATGACATGGAGTTAGAGGATTAGTGTTTCATGCCCAGCAAGACAAATCAGCAATACATCCCTTATAATGCAAATTGTAAGTTGCTGCTTTTTATCTTTAAAAAAAAAATTAGATGAAGCATAGGTGCTTTTTAATTTTGCATTTAAAATATAATGAATAGTCTTGTAAAATTTATTTTAGAAATTGTAATTTGTTTTGATAAAAATATTATTTAGAGTATTGTGGTACAGGTAAATAAAAATCGAAAATGTGTTGGTTTAGTAAATATCCCCTTTAAACTTAATTATTTTATGTATATCCTAGTATTTTTCTTAGAAAAACATTTTCTTTGCTAGAAAATGTTCTTTCATAGCAAAATATAATGTAGAATTTAAGTGAATTCTGCAATACTTTCGAAGCCGAAATGGATTTGCTCTTGCTATGACTTTAATAAGAGTATAATTTTACCATTTTTTTAATGACCAGCTCATCTCTAGAAATTAAAATGAATTTCACCACTGTTAACTGACGCTTAAATTAAAAAAATTTGGTATTTTTAAAGTTTATTTTTTTGTAAACACATATATTTATTTCTAAATATAAAGATAACTACCAAAGCCAGTTCAGTATACATAACACAATCAAATTCATACAGAGGATTATATAGCTCACAGAGAGCAGTTATATTCTTTATTGAGTACTACTAATGAATGTCAAGCTTATTTTCTGTAGAGTACCTTTAGTTTTTAAATGTGTATTTGTTTTATTAGCTTTTCAAATGTGGCATATAAGGATGTATTTTGGTTTTTAAACTTGATTTTAAAATTAATTTTTAAATATTTTGAATAGTATCTTGAACAGAAAAAATTAGATTCCAGTTTGAAAATTTGTGTATTTATTTTGAGGAAGTTGAAATCACTTGCTATTTTTTAACATATATGAGAGCTATAAATAAAATATTTTCTCATAATATATATAGTAAACCATGTTACTTTGGTCACATAGCTTTTTCTTATCTTTTATATGCAGGTTGGCATACAAGGAGCAGTATTCCTTGGTGTTTAAGATCATGGATTCTGGAGTCAAAGTATCTGGATTCAAGTCCAGGTTCTACCACTTCACAGATTTGTGATCTTGGACAACTAAATTATTCTCTGGGCTTCAGTTTACTAATCTAAAGGCCAAGTTAATATTATAGTACTTATCATAAAATTGTCTTGACCATTAAATTTTTAAATTACCTGTCATACTTCTGTTTCCCTCTTTCCTCTCATGCTCTAATCCAAATGCCTTTCTTCTCGTATTTTTCATTTTGGTTAGTGCATTACCATTTACCCAGCCACTCAAACTAGAAACTTTAGAATTAACCTCAACTCTTCTTCTTTCTTATCCTCTACATTTACATAACTGGATCATTATCAGTTTTCTTTGAACAAAGACTAGATTTCACCCTTGTCTGTTACTACTGCTACTACTTAGTTTAAGAACTGAAGATACTTTACCGCTATTAATCTGTTACCATATTTCAGCTTTCTAGCTGTTTTAACCAATATAGTTCTACCAGGCAAACTTGTAATCATGTTACTCCCCAAATAGAAAATTTTGAGGATGATATTCAAGGTTCTTTGACAATTTGGACCTTGCTTTCATCTCCAGTCACAGCTCCTCTGGTATATTCTTGATCTTTCCTGAGCTCACATGTATTCATTCATTCATTCATCCATGCATCCAGACAGGGTTTTAATCCTGATTCTTCCACTATGTGGACACAAAATTTAATATTTCTTTGTCTCAGTTTACAATGGGGATGATAATAGGATCATTGTGAAGATTAAATGAGTTAATATATGTAAAGTACTTAAAACAGTGGTTGGTATATAGTATGTGCTATATGGTTTTGTTGCTATTTTTGTTAGCAGTAACTAGCATTCCTAAGTGACATGAGCTACATTTTCTCTTGTTATTTAGTTTTCCAACAAATGGAAAATCAGTCTGCATGATGTCCTAATCCTATGTAGCCACTTAAGGCATTAAATGTCTGAGTGTTTTGAGCCTGGACTAAAAGGGAAACTTTTATATATATTTATTATTACAGTGTAATATTGAAGTACTCCTCTTTTTTGCCTCTTCACACCAGATTCTGTCCTGCTTCTGATTTTCCTGGCCATCTGAAATGCTGATGATAATTATTGTTTTCATTTTTACTCTATTTCTCAGGCTTGATGCATAACACTTTTTATGTCATATACCTTAGCTTTTATTAAAATAGTTTTCTTCCCTGGCTGTGCTTCAGTCTGAGGACAAGACGGGCAAGGCTAACATATCTGGCTATAATTTCTTGATTCTAGTAACAATGTCTGTTCCTCAGCACAAGCCTGATATCCAGCTAGCATTCCTACCATTCCTGCTGCCTCATCCTCTCACTCCCATTGCCCCTGCCTTACAATATTACTCTCTGCTTCATCTTCTTCTGCAATATCATTGACCCAGCTTTGAAAAGACATATGTCTTATTCAGTTCTGTACCTGGTATGCCTTGCTTTTATAAATAATGGAAAAGGAAATCAAAGCACTTATCATTGACCAGTTGGTGACTTAATTTTTAATAAATGAGTTAGGATAATAATTGCAATTTCTCTCTGATTAAAGGAAGAATCTTGGAGAAAATAATATTTGAATTGCTGTTTGAGTGATGGAGGAAGAAGAGTAGATTATACAGGGATCTTTATAGGGGTATTTGAAGCTTAGAATTTATTCTCAGCTAATACTTGAATATTGGCATTGAGGATACAAAAACTTAGTTTCTGTTTAACTCCAAATGACCGATAGAGTGACAAGTAATAAAAAAGTTGAAAGGCAAGAAAGATTGCCAAGGGCTGGAGAAGCTGTCTTTTGTCTTTTCCCGCTGTATGAAACCTCTGTAGGTGATTTCCTATCTTCTCTTGAGACCAAATTCTCTTGAAAATCTGGTAGCTTATCATAACAGGATTGCATTCAGTTTCTGGAATATAGCTTGATCTTCTGTCTCTGGGCCTTTGCAGATGTTATTTCTTACTAATTCTTGAAATATAACCATAGAGTCTATAACTTCCAGAAAAGCTTTCTTGATCTTTCAACACTGGAATAAGTATTTCTATGGTTCTCATAGTCCCTGTTCTTTCTCGGTTATAGCCTTTATTACACTATATTGCCTTTACTACACTCTGTTGTAACTGTCTTCACCAGATTGTTCAAGTAACACAGAAACTGTTTGTTTAACAATGCCTGGTGCGTATTGGTGCTGCAAATATGTAAGTTGGTTGAGTGAATGAGTAGGATAGAGCAGAGAGGAGTTGGTCATTCCAGGCAAGGGGAAGAAGTGTGGTATTGAATATTGTGGATTCTGAGAGTGGGTACAGCATTGGACTGAAGTATAATACTGAAAAGACAGGCCGGAGCTTTAACTGCCACATCAGGGAGTACAAAATTTATTTACTAAGAAAGAGCCATTGAAGCTTTTAGAGATAAAAGTAATGATATATATTCTCATAAATTTTGTTAAGTAATGTATCTGTGCATGGGATATAACTTTTTTCTAATTCTGCATGGAGTTTTGCTCTTGTTGCCAAGGCTGGAGTACAATGGTTCGATCTCAGCTCACTGCAACCTCCCTCTCCCAGGTTCAAGTGATTCTCCTGCCTCAGCCTCCCAAGTAGCTGGGATTACAGGTGCCACCACCACACCTGGCTAATTTTTTTATTTTTAGTAGAGACGGGGTTACACCTTGTTGGTCAGGCTGGTCTCCATCTCCTGACCTCAGGTGATCTACCCACTGTGTCTCCCAGAGTGCTGGGATTACAGGTGTCAGCCACCATACCTCGCCCTTTTTGTTGCTGTTGTTGTTGAGACAGAGTCTCACTCTGTCACCCAGGCTGGAGTGCAGTGGTGTGATCTTGACTCACTACAACCTCTGCCTCTTGGGTTTAAGCGATTCTCCTGCCTCAGCCTCCCCAGTAGAAGGGATTACAGGTGCTCACCACCACGCCTGGCTAATTTTTGTATTTTCAGTAGAGACAGGGTTTCTCCATGTTGGCCAGGCTGGTCTTGAGCTCTTGATCTCAAGTGATCCACTCACCTCGTCCAACCAAAGTGCTGGGATTACAGGCATGAGCTACTGCGCCCAGCCTTTAATTATTTTCAAAATTTTGCAGTACTCTTCAATGGATTAAACATATGATGACTCCTGTCTTTTTTTTTTTTTTTAAGACAGAGTTTTATTCTGGTGCCCACGCTGGAATGTAGCGATACAATCTTGGCTCACTGCAGCCTCTGTCTCCCAGGTTCAAGCGATTCTCATGCCTTAGCCACCTGAGTAGCTGGAATTACAGGCATGTGTCACCATGCCAGGCTAATTTTTGTATTTTTAGTAGAGATGGGGTTTCACTCTGTTGGCCAGGCTGGTCTCGAACTCCTGGCTTTAAGAGATCCTTCTCTTTTGGCCTCCCACAGTGCTGGGATTACAAATATGAGCCACTGAGCCCGGCTGACTCTTGCCTTTCTTTCAAGATTCTTTCTACAGATTTATAAGGAAACTTAGAAAATTTGAATAAATGCTGCTTAATGAATTGAACAACTGTCATGAAACTTTGCAGTTTGTTTTTCTTATAAACGAAACTATTTTTAAACTATGACAAAGAAAATTCAAATAAGGTAGTAAGCTAACATGTTTGGGGGTTTCCTTCTTATTTGTAGCTTAAAGAGAAATAAATGCTTACAGCTGTGACTTTTTTTTCTCTAGTATCTCCAGAGGCAGTTGGATTTTTGTCAGCTGTTGGGGTGTTTATTATCTTGATGCTGCTCCTTTTTCTCTATATTAATAAGAAGTTCTGTTTTGAAAATGTTGGCGGGTTTCCAGATCTTGGTTCAGAATACAGTACAAGGAAGAATTCACGAGATAAAATTTGTAAGTATCATATTTCTGCTTCTGTTGTTTTTTTAATCTGTTTATTTTACTTATTTTAATATATACAATAAAAAAGTTGGTTGTGACATAATTAACTAATATTTGAGCTATTATTCTGTAAAAGATCTACTGCTAATTAAATTATGTTCCCATATCCTTCTGTTGTTCATGAATTGCTATTAGGTACAGGTGAATTGTCTGCTACCACAAAATGACATTTTAATTTTTTATTTTTAAAATATGCTTTTGGGCCTATAATATGAGCAGATATGCTTGAGGAAGAAGGAAGTATCTTGTTACTTCACGTAGCATGCTTCCATTGACCAAGTGGCTCTTTAGGGAGCTTTTTCCCCACACATCCGTAGAACACTTTTGAAAGTATTCACCTTTTTTCTTTACCTGCTGTTTAATTTTCAGCTAACGGGTAATTTTATTGTTTGGAGGAGGTGGTTTTACTTAGTAACTTAATTTATATATCAGTTCTGATTATAAAAAATAACGTTCCACTCCCTCCCTTAGCACCATATTTTATAGTGTTACTAGATACTAGGAAAGGTGAATATCGTTCTCTTATGGAAATGTTTTCCTTGGAGTTTCTTTCTCTCTTTTTTTTTTTTTTTTTAAATTACTACAAGAATTTTTACAATTTTCTGTTTCCAAAAACTGGCTTATAAAAATGATAGTAGGAACAAATTGGAAATTATAAAAGCAAAGTGTTAATTTAGAAGAATGTGACGAACAATAGCTGCGGAATGTTGCTTTTCTTACCTGTGTACCTGTGTTGGAGATATGCTTTTCTCTTATATCTGATAACTTAAAAAGCAATAGCCCCATTACTTATAAGAATCTGTTAGTTATTCAGTTATATTCTGTGACTTTTGCATTAAGAAACTAAATAGTATTTTATACAGTTTTAATTTGGTCAAGTTTAATGTTTCTCATAATCCATTCCAGTCCTACTTTTTGATCATTTAAAGAACTGGCTAAAAGTATCTTTTTAGCAGCCATTGGTAATTCTCTAGTTCAGCATTTCTGGTTTTTCTTTTGTTTAATGATACCTTTATGTTTTTAAATTTTACTGAGTACTCCCAAAGAGCTTTTTGTTTATGTGGATTATATCTATTGATATGTACCATATTAAAGTCAAAACTGTGAAAATTAAAAAATGTTATTTATCAATTTATTTTTTTAAAATCAACAGTAAGACTATTATATGTTAATATAAACGTTTAAATTTTTAAAAAACTATTTTTCAAAGCAAAAAGAAAATAGGGAAAAAATGGTGAGAAGAGTGATTTTGTTTTACACTTTTTGCAAATCTTTTTAATGACTGGCATAATGGAAGACAGCTGGATTCTCATTTCTGCTTCTGCATTCAATCTGTCATGTAGCCTCTGGATAACTACCGTATTCACTTGTGAGCCAATGAGAATAAAAAAGTTAAATACCCCCTTGCTGTTACTGTAAAACTAGTCTTGACCTTGAAGATCCCTTGAAAATGTCTCAGGGACCTTTATTATACTGAATCTTGTTTTTCTGTCACTTATTAAATAGGAACAATAATATTTATCTCCTAGAATCACTATAAGATCAAGTAGGATAAAATGTGTCAATTACAGTGCCTTACATATAGTAGCCACTCAGCAGATGTCCACACCTCTTCTCCTCTATTCTTACCATTATACAAAATTGTTTAGATATTTTTCTTTAATATTTTTCTTAATTTGAAATGATACTGGTAGTTTATTAATAAGATAGGGTAGTTCCCTTACATAGATTATTAATAAGCAACTAAAAGTACATAATAAAAATCCTTCTTACGCTTCTTCTTTCAGGTATAGAATAAAAACTCAATAGTGTTTGAGGGAAAAATACTGTCTTGCTGCTGTTACAATAGCTGTGGAGTGGGAAAAACGTCATTACGTTTAAACCAAATGGTTTGATTTTTTTCTTGTTTCGGAAGAGTCTTCAACATATTTGTTTCAATGCATAATGTATTTACAGAAAGATTAAAAGCTATAATGTGAATTGCTAATATTGAGCTGATGAATAGCAACATTTAAGTAAATGTTAAATTCAAGTTCCAAAGTGGTTGATATTTTGAGAAGAGAAAATTCCATTATTGCACCTTTTAGGAACAAGGAATTAGAAAATGGCATTTTTCAGAAATTTCCAACAGAATCTGCCTTCAGTGTCCTCTCTGGTAGACACAATCAGTAGTGCTGTAGATGATTTGACCACTGCTGTTGGGGAGGTCAGCTATGCTTTAACTGACTCAGTTGCTGAGCAGGTAACAAGCATGATAAGTGGCTTTCGCGCAGAAGAGGAAAGCTCTGCAGCAGAAGAAACTGTACACACTTCTAAACAAAAAAATGCTGGGTTAACAGAAGTCTCCCAAAACACTAATTGTCAGAAAACGCAATCCAGTTTAGAGCACAGAGCAAACCAAATAAATACTTGTAATACTTCAGTTTCACAAAAGCAAGATCAAGGAATACATGAAGAAAGAGTATTTAAACATGTTAGTGATAGGCAGCAGACTCTATCAGAGTATCAAGACGTTGGTAATCCTGGTGATTCTTCTTTGAAAGGCTGCATGAATAATGGTGGGATATCAGTTATCAAACAGAATACAAGGGCTGGATCTCCTTGTCAAGAACTTGAAAGTACTGACAGATGTAAAACAATTGGACTAGGAATTTCCAATAATGGTAAGAATGATTTAAAAGAGGTAGGATACCAAGAAATGAAAGGAAATCAGAAGAATGCCAATGGAGTAAACAAATTGTATGAGCAAAAGAAATACGTTAGTACAGATAATCGTAAAAAGGAAGAATATACTAAATCTCGACATGTATTTTTGGGAAGAGATCAAGAGAATATGGGGCATTTCAATAAATACAAGCATCTTCCTGATTTAGGGCATTCAGAGCATTTAAAGAAAGCTAAAAAATGTATTAAAAGTAAAGCATCCAAAGGGAATGAGTGTTCAGGAAATGAATGTTCTTTAAAAGGTATTTTGACAAGCAATAGGCATATGACACAGAAATCCATTATAAAAGAAGACATACGTCTAGCACCATCAACTTATTCTAAAGATAAGTTATCTGGGAAAATTGAAGAACAAATAAATTCAAAGAAATACTGCAAAGCGAAAGAAGACATAAACCCAAAGAAAACTGGGGCCATTTCTGCCAAGAAAGGAACAGCAAAGACTAAAAATGAAAAATATTCTAATATAATGCCAGAAAAAGGTGAGGTCTCTTAACGTTGGTGTGAGTGGTTAAATTTTCTCTTGATTTTTAAAATTATTAAAACATCATCCGAATTTCTCAGCTTTCCTATTCCTGTGTCTAAATTTAAGATGTTCTTGAATCCTTTTACTGGGAGACATTTTTAAAGTCATTCAGTATTTTTTCTAAAATCATTTCAAGAGCATTCATGTTGTTTGTACCACTAAGTATTGCTCTGGTCCCTGCATTATTTGGCCAATTTTTCAGCAGCCCTAGTTTTTCTTAATGTCCATTTAGTTTACAACTGGAAACTTCATGGTTTTCTTACATGCTTTATTTGGAGTTTATTTGATGTGCTGTAGTTGCTTTGAAATTTTTATGTAACTAACTCCGAAGCCCCTTATACAATATTGCTCTTTGCATCTATCCTAATAAGAATTTATATCAAATGTTTAATTTTTTCCTGGAGAGCAATAGATGTTATTTTATTCAATAACATGGTTCAGGATACATTTTTATTCATTTTGCCCATACATTAAAATTTTTATATTACTGCCCTATTTACAATAAGTATACATGAATAATTTGTTATTATTCGTGAGTTCTCTTTATAGAATTAGGATTCTAATTAAGCATTTGTAGTTTTCAATCACAGTACTTGTGATAATTTTCAAAACATTACTAGCCGCTCATGCTGCTAATAATTACTTCTGGTAATCTCTTAGTCACATCCATTTATTGCTGATTTGATCACGAGGCCAAAAGTACACTGGCTTTTGTTTATAAAATACACATCTGGAATTTTTCTATAAAGCCATACTCTCATAAAATAACAAAAAGCCAAGTAGCAGTAACAAGGAAGATTTTTCAGTTCTGCTATGACTACATACATAATAGGGATATGCTATTTATTAATTATGTGCATGGCTTTACAATGATGTAGGAGAGGCTAATCCAGGATAGATGCACTAACTTTAAATGTCAGTTTTTGAAAATGTATCCATTTTGGAATCTGTTTTTCTAGCAGTTTTTTTATTGTCAGATTTAGTGATCTTTGGTAGGCCTGGTTTAGTTCTGGTAGCCTTGCTGCTTAAAGTAGCAAAAATTTGAAAATAATGTAAAATGGTTTACATATTATTTTATCAGAATATAATGGTAGAATAGACACTAGTAATTAATACATTACAAGTAGCATGTAGGGTTTTTAATTTTTTAAATTTGTTTTCATTAAGAAACATGCTAATACCTAAAGAAACCAAATATTTCTCACATATTCCACAACACAGTCAGTACTAGACTTACATATGCAATGTTCCCAAAATTTTTTCAAAAGTTGTTTGACCCATAGATTAACCCTTCATTTAGCTGAACTGTAATATTACTGGTACCTGGTGTTCTAGCTTCTGACATGGGCTTTATAAGTTATAGAAAAAGGAGGAAGGGTTTTCTTCTCTATTTCTAATTGCAGGTTACTTTAGGTAATGTTTTTCAATAGGCGAAGTTTGGCCGCAGACTAGTTACCCTCCTCAAGAGACTCAGAACCCTCTCTTTCTTTAAGATCCCCACCATGGTATCCCACAAAGTGGTTAACAGCTCTGCACTGGGAGTCTGGGGCCTTATAGCTCTGTCATCTCAGTGCTTTCTAATAGTATTTTCTGCAACAACAGAAAAGTTTTATGTACCTGCATTGTTCCATACAGTAACCACTAGACATATATGGGTGTTGAGCACTTCAAATGTGGCTAATAGCATGGGGAACTGGACTTTAATTTCTGTTTAATTTTAATTAGTTTAAATAGCCACATGTGACTATTGGCTACATACTGGGCAAACACTGTCATAATATGTGACATTTGGTGATAGTGTTACCAGTTTGTGGATTTATTTTACTAATTTAAAAACTGGGACTAGACTAGATGACATCTAAGCTCCTTCTAACTCTAAACAATTAGTTTCTGTCCTGTGTTTGTAAAATTACTTGTTCTGTAACTCCCATTCAAATTTTGACCTTGATTTTTTGCTACAGATGATCTTACCTGACTATAAAAAGAAAAATAACCAGATTGAAGTAATGAATTTTAACGACTGTAGTCTCTTCCCCTTTCTAGAATTGTTTAATAATTCTAAGGAAATTATACCATTGTGCAGTTTCAAAATGTTTACTTTTTTTAAAAACTGGTAATAACTAGTGCTTTTTAGAACAATATAAAATTTATACTCCCTGAAAGTTTTGTTTGAAAGTTAAATATATTTAAGTAAAGTTTTCCTAGAATTCTACCTTTCACAAACAGTAAGTGTTAACAGTTTGGTGTATATCCTTCTAGATATTTTTGTCTGTGCATACCTACACTGCACTGTGTGTGTGTACATGCCACATGTGTGTGTATGTATATTTTTCAAATGGGAATATAATTATAACTTCTACTTTTTAACCTCCTTTTTTTCTCATAACATGATATAGTAGTTATTCTTTCCCTGAGAGTTCTTTTACATTCGCATCCTCAATTTAAATGACTGCATAGTATATCATTGAATAGATATATCATAGTTTATTTAAACAAGGCCCACTGATGGACATTTAAATTATCTCTTTTGCCGTTAAATACAGTACAGTGAATTGTCTCAAAAATATATCTTTATTTATCTGTTAATTTATTAGGCTGAATTTTTAGAAATAGAATTGGTAAATTCCTGGAAAAGGATCAGATTATGCAGATTTAAAAGTTTAATATGTTTTGCCAGATTGCTCTCTAGGAAAGTAATATCAGTTATAATTTCACCAATAGTATATATCTGTCCATTGCTGTCTTTTACTGCTAGCACTGAGCATTGTCAGTTTTGATAATTTTGGCCAAAATGAGAACCAGAAATGTGTCTTTTAACATGAATTATTTGAACCAGATCCGTATGTACTGGCAATACTTAGAACTTCATTTGTGTGTTACTTATCCTTAAAAAAATGTAAAATGGCAAATATTATAATTTCCTTTATATGTAACATGGTTGAAAAATCCCTTTGACTAACAAACATTATTTATATAATAGAATGTACAAACTGATCTTTTTCTGTTAAAACATAAAAATCTAAAGCTTGAGCTGCTTATGTGAAAAAATTTTATTTTTCTAAATCTGAAAATTCAGGTTGTACATATGTGTGTGTGTGTGTATTTGTGTGTGTGTGTGTGTGCGCGCACGTGTGTGTGTGTATATATATATATATATATACACACACATGTGTGTGTGTGTTTATATATATAACTTCAGCAAATTTTCCATACTTTATTGTGTTAGCATTATCATTTGATGGGCCCAGCAGGGCCAGGTGATGGGAGTGAAATTTTTTAAAATTACTGTTTCTTCTTCATGTCATCCCAAATAGATAATTCCTACATAGACAAAGATGAGCATGGTTCGTCCTCTGAAAGTGAAGATGAAGCACTTGGTAAATATCATGAGGCCTTATCCAGAACACACAATTCCAGACTACCAATGGCAAATTCTAGACAAAAGAACTATGCTTGGGAAACAAGGCAGAAATACAGTCCTCTATCTGCAGAGTATGATGGATACAGTAGTGAAGCATCAATAGATGAAGGTAAGATGGGTTATTTTATTTTTTTACATGACACACTATAGTATTTGATTACTTGTGCCTGAAATTCTAAGAATCTGTGGCTGCAGCATAAACAAGAGAGCACACACAGTAAAGTCATATTTCTGGGAATATGATTTATTCAAATTCATATCTTTGGGCTCAGGCCAAAAATCAAACCAATACCAAAACACCCCAAAGCAAAACACCAAATAATTTACGTAATGTGATAGTTGGAGCTCTCATTTCACAGTGAACATATGCTTAACAAGCATGATATGGAAGATGTGAATCTGCTGTTCTCTCAGATGGAATCAGTTTCTCTATACCTGTTATAGGAACTGATAGAGTTTAAGTCTCCCACGGTGTTGAATATGATTCCAGTGTGTAAATGTATGCTGTTTCATTCAATATGGCCCCTAAACACCAGCCAAATGTTGCACATGGCACACAGTGGAAGAAATGGTAATCTGTTTTGTGCAGAAGGGAAAACTGTCAGATGAATTTATTGAGAGCTGGTACTATATTATATTATGCTTTAAAGGCAATTTAAGGGATTTTCAGGGATTTTAGTAATTTCAAGGATTATTTGTCTTTAATTGATTTTGTTGTATGTGCTGAAATTGACCTTTGAATTCAACCTGTGTAGAAGATGTCAGTCTACTTACACATGTTTTTGTATCTTTCTGTGACATGAGGCATGTTTTTGCCATTAATTAAAGCATATTTATTTCTACATTTAAATAAATTATTCACTTGCTTAACAGAATGTATGGCTACTCATCATGATTAAGTTTATACCCAGATATGAGGGAAAGAATAATATATCCTATATATCATTTTTATCATTATACAGAAACAAAAGCTATCCTTGATTTTGTAGCTCTGACTAATTTTTTAGGGCCTATTACTGTTGATGACTTAAAGCCTTATGCCAGCATGTACAGTTGTCAAAGGGGCTAAATCGTCTATTACTGTATTTGGCTTCATGCCAACTAAAGATTAATGCACCTCATGTCTGCTGGTACACAGATATAATAACAAATTAGTCAAATACTGAGTGACTACTATATGGTGATTATGAGATGCAAGGGAATAAATAAATAGTCAACATGTCTTTTACCCTCAAAAATACATTTTAGTACTAAGGAAAACAAGACATGTGCTTACTAAGTTAATTAAATAATGCAAAGCAGTAAAACCATTCCCCAAGTTATGTACACCTTTGGTACATGAATAGTAGAGCAGGAAGAGAATGGGTTTTGAGATCTGGTCCTTGGTAACATTCTGGCCATATCTCTTAATGTATTAGCCGTGAAACCTTTGGCAATATAGTTCATTGTTTTTAGATTTCTTTCATTTTCTGTAAAAGATGAATAATACTGAACTGGTAGGGTTGCCATGAAAATTAAATGATAAATGTGGTACAGTTTTTAGCAAAGTGTCTGATAGCTAATAGGTAAGTGATCAGTAAATGTAGTTGATTATAATGGTAGTGAAAACAGTGATGGTCATAAGTAAGCCCTGAGTGTGCGTTTCCTTTTTGCAGGTACATCATTCCTCCTTCCTCTCACCCAACACCCCTCTGCTGTCTTGATTACTTCTCTGTAGTTCTGTTAGTCTAGCATGACTTTTTAGCCTATGGAGAGAGCAGTGAGGAGAGAGATATAGCCTAGGTGCTTATACTATTCTTACCCTAACCTCTGCAAGTGGTCCAGTGTCCCAGAATCACCTTCTCATTGTATTTTACTCTTATATTTAGGACCCATCCTGTACTTTTTTACACATTTCCGCCCTAAATTATTTGATGAAACACTCAGAGTAGACTAATTTTAGGCATTCTGAGATTTATTTATTTCGTAAACATGAAAAGCTTTCATGAACACTTTTTATGTGTCACACACTGCTAGATACTGTGGATATGAAGATCATAAACTTGTTTCTCTCAAAAAGCCTGTAAACTGGAGGAGGAAAATCAGTGAGTATGTTTGTAATATAATATGGTGAGAGGTCTGTTAGTCACATGAGCAAAGTGCAGTAGAAATATCGGGAAGGAAAAAAGACAAAACTTTTTTTTAAAAAAAAGAAAATGAAAAAAGAAATACAGAGTAGGAGGTGATTTTGATTTGGGGAGGTAGGAATCTGAAGAAGTCTAATGGGATCTAGGTGAACTGGATGTGAGCGAGAATTATTTCAACAAGCACGGAATAGGACTTTCATGCAATCATGTATCCAAAAGAAAATGTATTTCAGTGCCTCTAACTTTCGAACTTTGTTTGAAAACAGGGCAAGTAATAGGACTGAATGCCTTGCTCAGGAGTTTGAATATTGTCTTATAGGAAATGTAGAGCCCTTTTGAAGGTTTTTAAGCAGGAGAGTGTGAAAAATTTAGAGAATATTTCAAGGATGGAGAGAAATCCACTTGACTCCAACACCGGTGCATCTGTACACATACATCTGAGGGAATAGGAGATAAAATTGAAAAGAGAGATGAGGTCTAAGGCCTGAAGTGCCTTCTGACTAGAAATGTAGGGTTTTATTTGTTTGCCAGTGAGAATTTGCTGAAGAGTTTTTTTACTAAGGAACCGTAATCAGAGTTGTGCTTTAGAAAGATTAATTTAGCAGCAAGCAGATTATCAGAAAAGATACTAGTTAAGGAGATCTTTGGAGTAGTATATGTGGAAAATGATAGAAGTCTGAATTACAGTAGTAGCTATAGAAATATGGGAGGATAGGAGAGATTATTGAGGCAGAATTTACTGGATTTAGAAACTGAATGTGTTTAGAATATTTGGAAAAAAGAAAGGAGGCATCAGAGATGACTGATTTCCATCAGGTGTGATGAGGAGAATGGTGAAGTCATTAATATGAAATCCAGAGAGGGACGTGTGTTTAGTTGGAAGTGAGCACTGGGTAAGAGATATGGTAAGTGATTTTACGTATATGATGAGGCAGAATATTTAAGCAGTTGGAAATAGCTATCAAGCTTGTAATCCTGAATGCATTTAAGGCAGAAGTTTTCAGATCATATATGCTTAGAGAATAGAAACTACGAACATGAATTAAATTGATGCAGGAGAAGGTGTCGAGAGAAAACGTCAGAAAATAATTTCCTTTGACAGGAGAATTAAGGGTGTCATGTAAAGCATCGAAGAAACAGTAAAAGAGATAAAGAGGAGAATTAGGAGAATGTTATATTTTATCAGCCATGGAAGAAAAGTTTTAGAAGGCGAAGGAAGGTAGAGTGGTTGGGGAGGGTGATAATTCAGATTAAACCCCTTTGTCCAGTAGAAGTTGATCACTCATTTTCAATTGAAGCTTTAGGGGAGTAATAAGGAAGTCAGATTGAATGTTGTTAAGGAGAGGATAAGTGGTAAGGAAGTGTACATTTGCTGCCTACACTTTCTTACCGCTTACTCTGTCCTTATCAACTTTGAGAGTCAGAGAGGTAGTTGAGGGGTTTTGTTTGTAACCCAGCTGTTCACCTTCTCCCTCCCGCCCACTGATACTCTCCTGTGGTATATATTTGGGAAGGACGAGGATTTGCGTCTCCACCTGGTGGTTGCCCCTTGGCGTAGCTGCCTCTGTAGAAACTGCTACCTGGTGACTGATCACCCACATAAGACAACTATTGGGTACAGTTCTCTTGGTAAGACTTCATTCATTTTCCTGTGTGAGTAGAAAATAAATGACACACAAGCAAAGAGATGAATAGAATAAGTTACACTTCTTACTGCTCTGACCCTTCAGCCCACATTTGACCATCACACAAGTTTATAAAGGTTAGACTTGACTAATATGAGTTAACTAAAGGGAATCACAAGATGGAAAAAAAAAAAACACATTTTTTACATGGCATAGTATTTATCTCATTAATACTAATAAAGAAACTTTAGTCCATTTCTCAACACCCTAAGTCATTCTAGTCGAAAAGCTTTGGAACAGCCAATTTTGAAAACAAATCTGCAGGAGTAGAGAAGTTAAGAGAGGACCTGAAGAGGGATTAGGAGAGACCAGTGCCAGAGAGCTTTTACTAGGTAGTGCGGACTGCCATTTATTGAGTTTATGCTGTGTGCCTCACTCTGTTGCTGTTATGCTGTCATGTTTAATCTTCATTGCTGTGTATTGTGGTAGGTAAGATTCTACAGAATTGAAGTGACTTTAAGTTGATTTTTTTAACCCAAAATCACACCACAAGACACAAACTATGCTTGTCAGGTTGACAGCAAAGTTAATGTTTTTTGGCTTGCATTAGGTCATCACTGCTACTTCAGTATTCTCCCTAAGTCTCTTTCATACAAGATGAACCCCTTCAGTGGGTCCTTTAGAGCAGGCTATATGTTATAAATTTGATATACACATATTCTAGAAAAAGTAAGAAAATGTGATGGCATATTTGTTGATCATGTTTTCTCCTCTAGGTGGCCATATTAATCTATTTTTTTTTTTGGAACTACAAAAGGGATAATATCTGTAAGAAATTTTTGTAGAAAAAGAAACAGCTTATCAAATCCTTTTTTCACAATTTTAATTTATTTTTACTGTGTTGTGCTTAAACTTAAGGCCATCTTCTGATAAACCTCTTTTATTTTAAAAAGGTCAGTATCAAATATGGTTCGTGGATATCTCATTTAATTGATGAGCTAGATAAACCTCTGAAATTTCATTCACACTAATTAGTACTTTCTATTTTTATATTAGATAAGAGAAGCTTATTAAAGATGATTCTACATGAAGATCAAGCTCAGTATAAAATTACTAGAATATCTTTTGTTGTTTATTAGCTTTTTATTATTAGTTTACCATAGAGTTTACATAGCTGTATTTCTATATTATGGAAAGCTGTGTTATTAAATTTACATTATTTATTTTGGGGGCAAGTTAATGTAAAACACCATTGAAAAATAATTTTCAGTATCACTTATGTCTTAGGGTATATAGTTGGACACACACACACACACACACACACACACACACACACACCTGTCATTTTCTTCCTGTTA